TAAACATTGGAAGCAGAAAAAAAAAGGTGGGGGGGGAACAGGACAGGAGCCTACCACAGAGGGCCTCTGAAAGACTCTACCCATCAGGGTATCAAGCAGATGCTTAGACTCATAGCCAGACTACTTTATTATAGCACCTAGGACCACTATCCCAGGAATGACACTGCCCAAAGTGATCGGGTACATCTCACATAAATCATTAATCAAAAGATGCAACTCAGGTTTGCCTACAGGCCTATCTGGTAGAGACATTTTTCAGTTAAAGTGATCTCTTCCCAAAAGACTCTAGCTGTGTTAACATGACATAAATCTAATGTTATCATTGTCACCTGTCACTGTTTAAGTGCCCATACTCTTTCATTTACCCCTTGATTAAGAAAAGACAAACAGAATATTAACTATTGTTTTCTTCTTTCCAGAGACTTGCAACACATCTAATATATTTGACTAAATATCAATGCAAAGATACATGAAAAGATTGAAAATGACTCCATCTACATAGAGAGATACTTCTAAACTTGAATAATGTTTTGAGAACATTAAGATATGACCATATCATATCTAAGACCAATAATTAATAAATGGGACCTCATGAAATTGAAAAGCTTCTGAAAAGCAAGGGGTACCATCAATTGGACAAAGGACTGCCTACAGAATAGGAAAGGATTTTTTACCAACTTCATATTCAATAAAGGGCTAGTATCCAAAATATATAAAGAATTTAAGAATTTAGACATAAAAAACACCAACTAATCCAATTAAAATGGGGTATAGACCTAAATAGAGAATTTTCAATAAAGGAATAACAAATGGCTGAGAAACACTTAAAGAAATGTCCAACATCCTTAGCCATCAGAGAAATACAAATCAAAACTAACTTGAGATTCTATCTTATACCTGTCAGAACAGCTAAGATCAAAACCACTAGTAACAGCTCATGTTGGTGAGAATGTGGAACAAGGGGAACACTTGTCTATTGCTAATGGCAGTACAAAGTCATACAGCCACTATGGAAATCTATGGTATTTACTCATACAATCGGGAATCAATCTACCTCAAGATCCATCGCTATCTCTCTTAAGCATATACTCAAAGGGTTGTCTCATCCTATGACAAGGACACCTGCTCAACTGTGCTTATTGAAGCTTTATTCATAATAGCCAGAAACTGGAAACAATGTAGATGGTCCTCAACAAAAGAGTGGATAAAGAAAATGTGGAACATTTTTACAATGGAGTATCACTCAACTGTTAAAAAAAAAAAAATGACATCATGAAATTTGCAGGCAAAAGGATGCAACTAGAAAATGTCATTCTGAGAGAGGTAATCAAGACCTTGAAAGAAGAATATGGTATGTATCCACTGGGAAGGAAAAATAGAATAAGCTTTGCAGGTGGACTGGGGGTGGGCAGAGATGGGAGTGAGAAGGATCAGGTGAGTTGGGAGAAGATGTGAAGGGAGAGAGTGTAAGGTGAGACAGTTGAAATTGGGGAACACTAGGGAGTTGTGCTGTGTAAACCTAGTGCCTTGGAAACTTCTTAGAATCTATGACCATGACCCTAGTGAGGATTCCTAGCGATGAAGAATACAGAGTCTGAACTGACCATCTTTTGTAGGCATGAAAGGCTCTCAGCGGTGGGACTGGGTTGCGTTTGGCTGAGTTGTTAGTTGGGGCGGGGGAGTCCCACTGAGATCCCAACTCATGCTGATGTTAGGAAAAAAGGCTGTTCTCTGACAACTGACAGGCCTGTTGCCAAGGGTAACATCTACATAACTTAGAGATGTTGAACTCATGCCTTCATGGAGCCTTCACTCCTATATTCTAGTCTCTGTGGTGCGAGAAGGTACTCTTCAGGCTGTAGAAAGAGAAACCTGGAGACCAACTCAGCCACAAAACCCCTCACTTACAATCTGTTTTGCCCGCAAGGTGTGCTGGGGCAGTCAATGATGGGGCAGAACTTGTGTGAGTGGCCAACCAGTGTTTTGTTTAACTTGAGGGGCAGATGATGAGAAGGGGGCTATGTCTTTTATTACATGGATAGCCAGGAACTGGATAACCCAGAGACCTAGGATAAAACAGAACATGTCCAGCAAAAAAAAAAAAAATCAATGAAATGATTCCTAATGATACTCGGCTATACTCATAGATCAGTGCCTTGTCCAGTCATTTTCTGAGAGGCTTCATCTGGCAGCAGATGGGAACAGGTGCAGAGACCCACAGCCAGACAAACAGAGAAAAAGTCTAAATTGGAGGTCTTCATCAGGTCTCTCCCCTCAGAGATCAGAACACACCCGTGAAGAGGGGGAAGGAAGACTAGGAGTCAGGGGGAATGGAGGATGCCTACTGAATCAGCTCACATGGGCTCACACTGAAGTAGCAAGCATGGGGCCTGAATGGGCCTGCCCCAGGTCCTCTGCATTTATAGAGAGAACAAGTGTATTTCTGCTCTTTTGTTTGTTCTTGGGACTCTTTTCCTCCTGCTGGGTTGACTTGTCCAGCCTCAATTTGTGGGATTTTTGTTCCGTATTATATCTTGTTTTATCCTGTTTGGCTGTTGTCTCTTGAGGCTTGCTCTTTTATGAACGGGAATGTGAAAGGGTGTGTATCTGAGGGAGAGTGGTGTGGGAAGAAGCTGGGAGGAGTGGAAGGAGGTGAAACTGTGGTTGGGACTTGAGAAAACTCTGTTTTTAATTAAAAGAAAAACAAAAGAGGAAAATAAAAAGAAGAATAAGGTGTAAAATCAAAGCAAGAGTGAGTAGGAAGACATAGGAAGGTTATAGGAGTAGGTGCTGGCAGAAGTTTTACTTCTTATCTAAGTTTTACTGTTTTTTTCCCCTGTATTTTACTCATGATTGACTATTGATGCTGAACAACTCTTCATGTCATTACCATAATTACATTTGATTACAGAAATGACAAAGTCTTTTGTTGTTTTTAATTACAAAAGAGAGAGAATCCTTCTAAAAAGGCCCTTCCAAAGACGTTCTTCAATCATTCTTCTAAAGATGTCCTTCTAAAGAGGTCCCTCGAAAAAGCATGAAGATGTCTTGCCAAAGAGATCCTTCAAGTATCCTTCTAAAGAGAATCCTTCCAAAGAGGTCCTTGGAAAGACCCTTATTCTAAAGAGGTCTTCCCAAAATATCCTTCAACCTCCTTTTACTGCATATACTTCTAAAGAGCCTCCTTTTAAGAAGCCTCCCTCCAGAAAAGCAGTCAGTGCTCTTAACCTTTGAGCAATATCTCCTGCCTCCAACCAAGGACCATGCATGGAAAGGACCTAGAACCCCTGCTCAGATGTAGCCCATAGGCAACTAAGTCTCCATGTGGGTTCCCTCATAAGGGGAGCAGGTGCTGTCTCTGACATGGACTCAGTGGTCAGCTCTTTGATCACTTCCCCCTAGGGGTTAGCCTTGCCGGGCCACAGAGGAAGACAACGCAGCCAGTTCTGATGAGACCTGATAAGTTAGGGTCAGATAGTAGGGGAGGAGGACCTCCCCTATCAGTGGACTAGGGGAGGGGTATAGAGGGAGAACAGGAAGGGTGGGTGAGACTGGGAGGAGATGAGGGAGAGGGCTACGGCTGGGATTCAAAGTGAATAAACTGAACTAGCTAACTAACTAACTAACCTACTAGCCTCTGTCTAAAGAGCATCTTCCTAAGGAGCCTCATCCCCCAAAGAATCCTTCCAAAGAGGTCTCTCTATAGAGTATCCTTCTTTGTTTCAGGAAATACAGAAGCTTGAACACTATTCTGAGAGGATGTATGAGGAACAATAGCATGTACAAGCAGCACAGGGGTGAATACAATAATCATATCTCATAGCTTCCTTTTTGAAAAAATATACCATGATTTTCTTTTACTTTATTCCTAATCTATTATCTTGTGAGGTAAAATTTAATTTATACACGAGGAAGTTGAGATTCAAAAGAGTAAATAACTTAGAAGGTATCCTTTCAATACTGTCCGATGAAACTTCAATCCCAGCCTTTCGCCCCGAACATTCTTTATTGCAGCTGCACGTAGAACTGAAGTTTTAAATTGCAACTTACAGAACACACATTGGCATCGGGTAATGCCAATAGGCAAAATACCCATTAATTGTGGTTCTTAAGCCTGGGCAAGTTGTTAAATAAGAACCATTACTTTAACTTTTGAAAACTGAATCCTGAGACCAAGGGTTCAAAGGGAAACCATCTTCTATTGTTTCTAAGTATCTGCAGAATATATGCCGAGCAACACTCCTATAGTACAGCTCCTCATTTTTAGCAATCTTCCTTTTGATTCATGTATGTTTACTTTTCTGTTTTTACCACAACAGAAGTCTTTACAAATACAGGTGGAATTTCCTACCATTTCCAGTAATGAGAGAGAGAGAGCCAGTTGCAGCTGCAAATGTCTAAAGCATCTTCATGCTGTGCAAGAAAGTGAAACCCAAAATTTGGGGCATATATATAAAAAAGAAGATTTAGAGACCTATCATACAAAGTCATATAGAGTTAGAATTAAAACCATAAATATATAATACCATAGGTACTTCAGCAAAGTAAGAAAATAATTAGGATTTATGATCATAATAACTAAATGCAAATAAATATTAGCAAAAGAATTAAAACTGAGAATTTTTTGTTTTAAGTATCTTCCAAGATTCAATCCTAGCATCGGTAGTATTTAATTATGAAATACCACATAACGATACAATATTACATAAGCATGTAATAAAACTTAAGTAAGGGAAACCATACCATTTTGTAGTTTTTTTTCTTCAGGAGGCAGGGTTCCTCTGCGTAGCCTTGGCTGCCTGAACTCACTTTGTAGACCAGGCTGGCTGGAACTCACAGAGACCTGCCTGCTTCTGCTTCCCAGAGCGCTGGGATTACTTATGCTGTGTGCCACTGTGTGTGCCGCTGTGCCTAGATAACCAGTCTCTTATTTCAGACACCCACAGTGACCACATTTTACACCTAAGATATATTATTATTTTTTAAAGTAAATTCAATACCTTTTTCTTCACACAAACTGAATCATTGAGTGAGAGCAGTCTGTCGTATCTGTTGAGGTAAATGTCTTTTTCCTCTAAGACCATCATCTGCAGGGCTTGATACTCTGAGGCTAAACGCATGTTTTCTTCCAGGGATTCTTCTTGAAGTTTCTAGAGGAAAGAAAATATTTGTGTTAATACACACACACACACACACACATATATTAATATTGTGCAAATTTGTTTGAACTTTAATATTTTAAAAATACTAAAAAAATTACTAACACAAAATGTAAAAAAATAAAATAAAATAAATGTGTGCTTTGATTCCAGGAAGCTCTCTAGTTACACTCATTTTCTTCTGGATGCAGAGATTTGGATTTATTTGTTTATTTGTTTTTGATCAACGATGTGTAATTTGTGTGAGTTCACCAGCTTTTTGTCTGATCCTTTTATGGACAGGACCAAGCTGTCCTGGGAAACTCTGCTCAGCACCTCTGGAGGGTCCTTCTTGTTCCCCACATGGTTTTCCTGTCACATGGTTCTGTGCTCTCACCTGTAGAAGACATTTCTGTCTGTAGAATTTGGGTGTCAACACTCAGAACATTCAAGAACAGGAGAGGATTGCTAATAGCTCGGTTAGTAGAGTATTTGCCGTGCACACAGGATGCAGTTCCCTCCCTCAGAAGCCAGGTGAAAAGCCAGGCTTGGTACAATCCCAGGACTACAGAGGTAGAGACAGGAGGATGTCAGGGCTTAGAGTCTGGGCTAATGAGCAGGGAGACCCAGCCCCAGTGAGAGATCCTATCTCAAGATGCAAATAGATGGCCTCACAGAAACCATGCTTGTGGTTGTGCTCTGACCTCCACACATGCGCTACGTCATGGGCATTTACACACACACACACACACACACACACACACACACACACACACACACACTAAACAAAATGCAATAAAAAATTATTAGAAGAACTTTGCCTTAGGTGCTTCAGAAACTGTGTAATTTACTGACAGACTTTAATATTTCCAAACCTGTTAATCTAATCATTCCTTTGGTGTGAATCTATTCTGAATTAGCAACACTTTGTCTAATACATAATTCACATTGCTGAAAATGTTTTGAGACCAATAAAAGATTAACCATGGTGATTAAACCACTAGATATAAAAATAACTAGTGTAAAGTAATTAAAGCATTCCTCTGTGAAAGGCTCTCCATTGAGCCTTTGGTTCTGTTGTTAGAAGTCATACGTGGTGTGAGAATATGAACAGGAAAATGTAATTTAGCAGAAAATTGCCTGTACCAATATTTCTGTATTTATACACCTAAAGATTTATTAAGGCCAGTAGACATATTTCTCATGGAGTCCTGATCTTCCTGTTGATCTAGAGTGATGAGCACTGTGTCACTGGTGTTCTTCTCCAGGAAGCCAGAATGATGAACTGACACCCATTTCACATGCCCTTGTCCTAATTTTTGGAGTGATTATTCAAAATTTTTGGAAGTGCTGGGCTCAATTATCAATCAGCATGTTCACAGGACTTGGATCTTTGGAAAAATTAATTTATAGACCCAAAGAAACCATGTGAATAACTTGCAATTAAGTATTTGATGATGAGTGTTACTATAAATGCACAAAAAGAGAGATTAGAATACACACTATCTTGAAAACAGATATTCTGTAGTAATAAACATTTCTGTGATGTGATAGTTTAAGTAGTTCTTTTCATTACCAATTCTAGCAAATACCCTTCTGTATATCTGCATAATGACAGTGTTTATTCATGTTACCAAAATAAAATGCATTTCATGTATGAAAAAAAATATTTGGAAGTCGCATCTTGTAAACCTACCTACGTTTACAGATAATTATATTTTTTCTTAGGAGGACAAATGTTGGTGAATATTTTCATTTGGTGGTGCTCCTTTTTAAATGATAGCTGTCATAATTTTGATACCTAACCATTCATTAAAATCTCCCAGCTGGTTGGATTGAAAATCTGAAAAATGACAAGGATCATTTTGAGTTTTCTGTTTGTTTACCTGCTTTTTTGAATGCTTTTGAACATAAAAAAAAAACATTTTCAAGATTACCTTTAGAGTTGTATGACTTTGCGTATGTGTGTATTCAGTTAGGTGCGCACAATCACACGTTTGTGTGGATGAGAGGACAACCTTGGGTGTGTAACTCTGCGGGTTGAACAGCGGCTTACAACATTAGGAAATTCATTCATTCTTTCATTCATTTATTTTCTCATTCTGTTATTTATTCAGGACTTTCTATTTAGTTACTCAGACTTGATAGTATGCCTCAAGAATTTTGTGATATTGTGTGAAAAATTTTTATTAACAGATTACACAAATTATAATTAGACTGTAGTATTCTAGGTATTTTGTACTTTTTGATTAACATATATATTAAATTTAGCCAAAATCATATTTCTCGATACTATACTTATTGTTATTTATTTGGTTCTCATTTTTTTATCAAGAATGATTGAAATGATTAACATTGGAAGTGTGTCCTGATAAAAAGGAGACTCATGAATACCTGCTCATCTTTCCATAATTTACTAAGTAAACATTTAGCATAATGTAATATCTAAAATTATTTGTTAATCTTTGATGATTAGGAGATATGACAGTTTTTTCTCCTAGTATTTTATTAGGAAATTAAATACATTAATAAAGGGCTGAACAGAAGCTACTTTGTAAGTTTCCTGTGTGCTGAGACTATTAATTCGTTCATCCCAAAGATATGTTTCTCAGAAAAGCTGCTGTAAGTAGAGGTGTGATAAATAGATGAATGGACAAGTGAATAGATAAGTAGGTGAAAATGATTGTATAGATGGACAGATTGATGGATGAATAAATTGATGAATGAAAGGGTACATGAATAAATGGACAGACAGATGAAGAATGAGTGAAGGAATGGAAGGATGAGCAAATGAATGATTAGATGTATGGATGTGTAGTAGATGATTGAAGAATGAATATAATATCACTTAGAAGTTGCATATATTTTCCTTAATAAAACCACATATTTTATTTGCAAACTTTTATGTGACAGTCTTTGTGATACTATAACAAGCTGTTATAATGGTAAAGAGTCACTTATACTATCTTATACTGTACTATGAAGGAGTGAAACTGTTCAGTACATGAGGATAATGCACACTAAGGCTTTACATTTGGGACTATTTTAAGGGATATGTGCTTTGCTCGGTTTTAGATGTTGTTCTTTAGAGTTTTGGAGTTTTCAAAACCTTTTAAGTTGTATATAGTTTATTGAGGGCAGGTTACATGCTAAGCCTGTGATACTCAAAGTATTTCTACATAAAAATGGTTTTCTCCTCCACCCATAGAAATCCTATAAAAAGAAGACAGATCAAGACTCCAAATTATCTAAACAATCTTTTTCATTTCTCACTGAGTTTTCCTCACTCTTTAAACTGTGGTTTTCATATTGGAATTTGTCTTCATTTTCAGTTTAATTTTGTCACTATTTCCTTTTTCATTCCTTTCCCATAGGGTAAGTAGGTATAGGACATCCCAACAGGAGAACTGTGCACTTCCTGGACCAAACTACAAAGTGCATTTCATTTCTTCTGGTAATAGTTACACACAAAGCTGGATTTAGCTAAGCATGAGCAATAAATCATGAATTCACACAATAAATAAGAGTTCAGCAGTCATCTTAATGAGAAAAGATATTACCCAGCATTCTAAAATTTTATTCTCACTAGATGTATGACACAATAAGAAAACAAGAAATCAGACAGAAAGAAGGAAAGCCGGTGCAACAGCTAACTTTCAGGAGTGCCTCCTGGAATGATAAAGTACCCTAACAAGGCAGCATGTCTTCAATTCTCCTTTCGAGCAACTCTCTGAGATGTTATTCTCCCTTTACAGAGAAAGAAAGTCAAAATAATGAAACACCAGATGGAGAAATTTGTAATTTTTGGAAAATGGCCACAGCAATATTTTCAGTCAAACATGCTTAAAAAAAAAATCTTGTCATTATATATACAGGTGAATTCTATTTGTTTCTTCTTTGGCTGTTCAATATATTTGTGGTTTATTCAGCCAGTCAAATATGGTAGAAATAATGCTGTGACTTTTCGGCTAGTTTATAGATAGCATACAACTTCTGGTTGACCTTCTCTTTTGTGATGTTCAGCCTTGCAATGACTACCATGTCTGTTGTAAGGGATCTAGGTCACAGAGGAAGATCACATGTCAATGGGTCAGTGAAGAGACTTGACATGAATTGTCAGTGAATGAGAGAGTTAGAGATAGGTTCCCATCTATGTGTATGTTTTTCAGCTGATGGTCTAGAAGTGAGAAACAATGACAATCCATTGTTCTTACCTCCTGTCCAAATGTTTAACATAGAATCATGAACAACATTAATGACCCCATTACCCCATGAAGTTTGAAGACTGTAATAACCAGAACAGAAGCACCAAGATCATTTGCAAGAGCACACAGCTTCTATGTGGAGTGTCTGGGCTTTGATCCAGACAAACTGGCACCAGATCACGTACTCTCATATGCAATGTGCCATTTTATGAGCCAGCACTCTTACAAACTTTGCAGCGTTGCCTTCACAAAACCTAGTGGCAACCAACAATGAAGACAAATCACTAAGCTTTTTTGTTCTCAGTTTGCCTTGTGATCTGGCACACGCAAGTTCCTTCTTGTTAAATAAGAACCATTACTTTAACTTTTGAAAACTGAATCCTGAGACCAAGGGTTCAAAGGGAAACCATCTTCTATTGTTTCTAAGTATCTGCAGAATATATGCCGAGCAACACTCCTATAGTACAGCTCCCCATTTTTAGCAATCTTCCTTTTGATTCATGTATGTTTACTTTTCTGTTTTTACCACAACAGAAGTCTTTACAAATACAGGTGGAATTTCCTACCATTTCCAGTAATGAGAGGGAGAGAGTCAGTTGCAGCTGCAAATGTCTAAAGCATCTTCATGCTGTGCAAGAAAGTGAAACCCAAAATTTGGGGCATATATATAAAAAAGAGAAAGGAGAATGTGGGACCCTGGAAAGCTGCTCTTTACTGTAAGCTACTATGAACTTTTTGATTATTCAAACTCCATTTCTTGTGATATTTTTATCTACATCATTCTATAGCCTATGATTTGAATAGGAA